CACCCGGAGTCGCGTGCGAGGACCCACTGGGCCCGCTCGAGAGGGCGCGCTCTGCCATTCACCCAAAGAGGCGGTTCCCGTTTTTAAATCGTTCTTTTGGGGCTGCAGTAAAAAATAAGAAAGGGGATTTTCTTGCTTTTTACTCAGAAGTTCAGTGTAATTAAAATCTCATATATATCTATATAAACTATACGTATATATATATAGTGTAAAATAAAATATTTCTTGGACAAGAAGTCCCCTTAAACTCAACTGTTAACAAACAGTACTTCACTGTTTTTGTACGTAGGTGGGTCAGAGACAACCTGGAATGCACTCGTGAAGAAAGTTGTTGCTTTCTGACTTAAATCTGTCATTCAGGAAGATGGATGCTGCCATCATAGATTTTTACAAATTGTTTGCACTTAAAACAGTTTAATGCTATTAGGGAATTACTTTAAATATGGGTCTCACAGACTCGCGGCCCTCCAGGGTGTTGAAGATGCTCTTTTTAATCTTAACATTTATTTTAATACTGCTGTTTCCAAAGCAGTCAGCTCTGTATTACATGTATAAATGATGTGATTGTGCTACTGGGGGACATGGTTACTTCACCAGTAATTTCCATCATTTATGAGTGACATTTCTAATTCATGAAAAAAATATTAATATTAAAACTATCTTGAATATACCATTGGTTTAGCTTCTGTTAAGTTGTCTCAATTTTTAATGTGACTTTTTGTTCAATTAAAGTTTGGTATAAAATGATGCGTCCTTTTTCCACCCTGTTCCTGGAAGCCCGACAGTGGGGCTCATCTGGAGAGTTCTGTGGCTCTCCGGCCCCTCCTTCCGGCTCCCGGCTTTAAGTCGCTGTCGTCGCTGAAAACCCGTGACCACACGTGCATCGCGGCGTCCGGGGAGGCTGGGGTGTTCCGTTGGCTGCGGGGATCCTCGGGGATGGGTGTCGGGTTGAGACCAGCTCGGGAGCAGCTGCGAGCACAGTCCCGCCCACCCCCGAGCAGAAGGCCGTCACGTTTACCGACGTCCGCAGCTGCACCCTTGGGAAGCATTTTTATCTGGTGTGACGAAACCACGAAGCGTCCGAAGCACAGCTTTCCAAGCGAACACGTTAAATCGGGGCACGTCCCACGACTGAGGCAGGAAACCGAGCGCACGCCCTCCGAGAGCTGCGCGGAGCCCCTGGGCCCCCGGGACAGGCGCTCCGGGGCGGTGAATGCCACGACATAGACGCCTGTTGTTCTAGCGACAGAGTCAGAATTTATCAATCGTATACATTCACAATGACCTGCGTATTAAAACCGCACATTCTGGATGGTCTCTCTGTCATGGGCACCAAAGCACTGGCTTCTAGGCGTGTCGGTGACACACAAAACCCCGCCCATGCAGGTCCAGGGACACACAAGGTGGCCCACATACCGGGGCAGGTCAGCAGAGGCCGCCTTTGAAAACGGAGTCCAGCGTTCGTCTTGGGACCCTCCGGGACAGGGCGGGCTCCTTTTTCTATGAAGGGACAGGGGGAAATCTGGTTGGCATGAGGACAGCGGTCACGTGGGTTAAAATTCAAGCTCGGTTTGGTCAGACGCCCCGGCTGTGCTCCCCCCACTTCCACATCCTCAGGGTGGGCGGTCCTGGCTCTGCGCCCCCTTTGCCTAGGCTCAGGAGCAAAGCTGTCAGGTGGGCCCCGATTTGCTGTCGACGCATCTGTACTAGGAACAAATCTATGGCTCTTGTAGCAAGTAGTCCAAGGTGGCTTCCAAAATCAGACTGCCTTGTAACTGCCCCCCGCGCCCCCAAGGCGTGCAGCCCCCGGCAGGCCCCAGGCAGACGGCAGCCAGGCCACCCTCGAAGCCAGGGAGGGCGCAGCACGACTTGCGAGTGCTCTTCCGTGCTGCCTTGAGCTTCCGTCCTTATTTGGGGCTGGTGAAGGTGAGCTGCGCGCCTGGGGACAGGTCTAAGGGAAGCTGGGAGGAGGCCGATGCTCCAGGGCGAGTCAGCGAGCTTGCTGGCTGCCACGTGGCGGCCGGAGGAACACGGCAGGCCCGGGAGCGCCCTCCGCGCGGGGAGGCGGGGGACAGGGAGCAGCAGCGCCCAGGCCACTTGGGTGGCGTCCCCGCTGCCATTTCTGCTCCACAAGCAAGTTCACACGCTAAGGTGCTGTCAGCAGTGGGACCCTTGGACCAGTGCACCAGGCCACCCCTCTGCCCCGGGAGCAGCTCGCGCCTCCCTGCCTCGCGCCCTCTCGGGCTGAGAGCAGGAGGCCCGGTGGGTGAGGAGCGGAGGCTGGGGCACCGGCAGGTGCTCAGTAAACACTGTGCAATGAGCCGACTTGACAGGGTCGGGGGGAGCATGACTTTGACCCCACTTCCCTTCTGGAGCTTTGTTGCTCGGGAACAGCCTTGCCTGCAGAGGCTCAACTGGCCTTCAGGTCTCCTTCACCACCTTTCCAGTCTGGAGTGAGCGGACACCCACCAGGGCTCTGGCAGCAGGCGGAGGCGGCCTCCCAGCACAGGGCCTAGAGGCCAGACACAGCCGGAGCCATTCAGCTGCCCGGGGACTGGCTCCCGTGCTGAGAGCGGGTGGGGGGCTGCAGGGACGGCAAGCGTGGCCAGAGTACCACCCTGCTCCTCAATGGAGGCTGGTGCGCAGGGCTGGACCAGCTGTGCCCACTGTGGGGCCTGGTGTGGCCGGGCTCTGGGCTCTGGGCTCCAGGCTCTGGGCTGACGGCTTCACAGCACTTGTATTCCAGCGACCAACGTGAAGCCAACAGAGCTTCATCTGGTGGACAGGTCACACGACCCCCCAAGGGCCTGGCCTGCCCCAGAGAGGCCCTCCATGGGGAGGGACAAGTCGGCTTTCTCAGAAGGTATGCAGGAGAACTTTAAAAGATTTTCCCCTCAAATGTTATACACTTAAAGGGGTAACAGTTTTCCTAAATACACAAATTCCTGTCAGTCCTTAAATGTGTCCTTAGGGCCCGTCCTCGAAGACAGGAGCATGCCCCCCTGAGCCGCTGCCCCTCAGGGGCCTGGTTCTCCGGCAGCCTCCCCTGCCTGGGGTTTCTTGAAACTGTTTCTTGAAACAAAACACAGGTCGGGTGAACGCACAATGATGTCCCCTTTATGGAAATTAGGAAAAACACAAGAGGCTCTTTTGCACGACTTTTGCCTAATGGAACTTGACCAAGAGGTGTGGGCGCACTGGCCGTGCAGGGCCCTCTTCAATCCCAGGAGCCTGCTCCCATCGCCTCTGGCCGCCGGTCTCCCTGGCCTTCCCGCTGCTGAGCCCCAGCACCACCTGGCTCTGGCCTCCTCCCTGCCTCAGCTCCCAGGGGACCCGGAACTCCCAGATCCTCCTCGGAGGCAGAGTGGCGCCCTGCTTGTCCCCCAGTGCCCCCCCGCCACAACAGGGTGTTAAATGGGTTCAAAGGAAGCTCTTTCCAGCCCCTCCTCATGTGCACCCAGCTCTGAACATCCCCAAAGCCTTGTTTCTTGTCTTGAATCTGCCCCCCTTGGGCTCCTCGGCCCCCATGTGGCCCATGCCCATGCTGCCTCGCGTTCACCCACACCCCGCCCCTGTAAATGCTGGCTCCCGCCTGCCCCTCCCGAGGCTGCTGTATCCACCCCACAGCTGGGCCGGCCTGGGACTCCTGGTTCTGCTTCACCGCCTGGCAGGTAGGTCAGAGGTGGTGGCCACTGGAGAGCATGTGGAAGAATGTCACAGATTTGTCTCTTTTTTTTTTTTTTTTAAAGATTTATTTATTTTTATTTTGAGAGAGTGAGAATGAGAGAGAGAGAGAGAGCACATGAGAGGGGGGAGGGTTAGAGGGAGAAGCAGGCTCCTCGCCGAGCAGGGAGCCCGATGCGGGACTCGATCCTGGGACTCCAGGATCATGACCTGAGCCGAAGGCAGTTGCTTAACCAACTGAGCCACCCAGGCGCCCTCACAGATTTGTCTTAAAAGAAGGAACAAGATTTCCCTGATGCCGAGTGATGTTGGGGAACAAGAAGGGGCTCCTGGGTGGATCAGTTGTTAAGCGTCTGCCTTTGGCTCAGGTCATGATCCCAGGGTCCTGGGATCCTGGGATCGAGCCCCCACATGGGGCTCCCTGCTCCGTGGGGAGCCTGCATCTACCTCTGCCTGCAGTGCCCCCTGCTTGTGCTCTGCTCACACTCTCTCACTTGTCTCTCTCTCTGTCAAATAAATAAAATCTTCAAAAAAAAAGAGGGAACAAGAAGACAAAAACTAACCTGGGAAATTTGCTTTTTCTTAACGTTGTAAGTTTGTGAAGGCGAGGACAAGAAGGGGTCATTATGCTACATCCCAAGACAAAAATGGGCTCAGGAGGGTCTGGCATCTGCCCAGCGGGCGGGCCAGCAGCAAAGCAAAGCGCCGTCAGTCAGGAAGCAGCATCTCTACTCACAGGCGAAGCTGGGCCTCTGGAGCCAAGGCGAGGTGGCTGGCGGCCGCAGGGAAGCCCGGCGCTCCGACGTGCCTCACGCTTGGCAGCCTCGTCCGGCTGCAGCTCCCCGGGGTACTGAGGCCATGGAGCACCCTGGCCGAGCCTCTGTTTAGTTCTTACTGGTTTTTCGCGTGCCACAAAATTAAGCTGTACCAAAGCCTTCCCAACAAAATAAATTCCCCAAATATGCTCACAAGACCTAAAATAAAGAAATGCATGTCAGGACACACATTTAACTCAGAAAATATTAAAATATTGTACTGACAGCTTATTCTTTAATAAAACTCCGACAGCATAATCTGTAAACTGTGACGTGCCACACAGTATCAGTGACGTACCGAAGAAGGCACGACGCACAGAGCCCATGCTGAAACCAAGCCTAAATAATACAGTATATAAATTCTGATTTCGGTTTTGATTCAGATAAAAAGATTACAAAATATTTTCTGCCCCAAATTCCTAGGTTACAAAAATGAAACAAAAGCCCAGAATGGGGTGGTTTTACAAATGTATTCGACTGGAACATACAGGACCTGTGCTCTCAGGATGCCAGGCGCTGCAGGCTGGGGGCTCCAGGCCAGGTGGGCGCTGGCTGGCCTGCGGGGCAATGGTCTCGGGGGATGCCAGGGCTCTGCGAGGGGGACATGCCAGGCCTCTCCCGGAGCCCTCCATCCGAGGCTCGGCGGTGATCCGCGGGGCCCGGCCTGGCCGCGCCTGGTCTCGTGCTCCCGGCAGGGGAGCCGGCACGGGCGGCTCGGTAGCCTCCGCCCTTCCTTTCGATTGTGGGCAGGCGACACTGCTTCAGGCTGGGCTTACTGTCTTTCTGCGCATCCGTCTGTTAAAGGGAAGAGCAGACGCTCAGCGGGGCCGGGCCGAGAGCTATGGGCTACGGGGAGCTAGCGCGACGGGCTACCTTCTGGTTGGCGCCAACACACTTGGGGGGCCTCAGCACCGGCGCTTTCCTGTCGGCCCCCAGGCCGAACACGGAGTGCAGCGCGGGGCTGGAGTACAAGGGCAGTTTGGTCACTCCTGAAAGCTTCAGTCTGGGCAGTTCCATTAGGTAGGCCGGTCCTGGTCTCTTGGGATGGTCCTCTGGCTTTAGGCACTGTTTCTTGAAACAAAACACAGGTCGGGTGAACGCACAATGATGTCCCCTTTATGGAAATTAGGAAAAACACAAGAGGCTCTTTTGCACGACTTTTGCCTAATGGAACTTGACCAAGAGGTGTGATCGTACGGTGACCAGACGGTATCCCTGCCACCCAGGTGACATGCTGCTCATCGGAGCGTCCCCCCTGGGGGAGGCAGAGCCTCCACACTGGAGTCTGGGGCCTGGTTCTCCCCCGCAAGGCAGCCGACTGTAGCCTGACCTGGCCTGACGCCCAGGAGGCCACTGACATGGTCACAGCAGCGTTCCACGGGCCACGGCGGTGCTGGTGGCCCTGCTTGAAGTCCAGAGGTTGGCCAGATCCACCCGCAGTGTTGCTTTAGTGTGGCTCGTGAGCTAAGAAATTTTTTACCCTTTTTTTTTTTTTTAAAGATTCTGTTTATTTATTTGAGGGGAGGGAGAGAATCTCCAGCAGGCCCCCTGCTGAGCCCGGAGCCTTATGCGGGGCTCGATCCCATGACCCCGAGATCACGATCTGAGCTGAAGCCAAGAGCTAGAAACTCAACTGAGCCACCCAGGCACCCCTGCATTTTTTAACAGTTGAATCACAGTGTCCAAAGTTTTACTGGGACAGAGCCCCACTGCTCATTTACAGATCGTCCACGGCCCCAGGAAGAGGGCAGCTGTGATGGGACCTTATGGCCCCAAAGCGGGAAAGGCCTCCCAGGTGGCCCCTCCAGACACGGGGGGACTGTGGTGGGTGCCGGCAGGAGTGACACAGCCAAATGTCTCACTGGAGGGAAGGGCTGAGCAGGGACAGCAGTTGGAAGGCAAAATGAGAGAGGCTCAGGTGATTGGGGAGGAGGGTGTCACCGTTTGGCACCTGAACAGCTGAAAGGGAGCTGCCTCCATCCTTAAAGGGAAGGCATGGGGAGAAAAGCAGGTTTGGGGGGAGAGACCGGGAGATTGGGTCTGAACCACTCCGCATATTGGTCAAATGGAACCATCAGGCAGGCGGCTGAACACAGCAGTCTGGAATTCTGGAGAGCAGCCTGGCTGCAGATATGTCGGTGACCTCAGCTCCTAGCACGAAGTGACACGCAGCGGATGCTGGGATGAGGGACGGAACGGCACAGTCACCACACGGTGCGGTGCCAGCCCCCACGTGGAGCTGGGAGGGGGCTGAGCAGCGGGGACCACTTGGGGCGCTCAAGGATGAAAAGACTGCAGGGGGAAGCTGTTGTTTCTAAAGCAAACAGCGTGTGCCCAGGCAAGTGCTCATCTGGGGCCTGCTGAGCGTGTGGGGACCTGTTCACTGGCTCGCTGGGTCACCCGGGCCGGTTTAGCTTCTCTGTGCTCCCTGCTAGGGTCAGTCGGAGGGCACAGGGAGGTGACAGCTGCCAAGCACTGTCAGAGGGAACTGGGCCCCTGCGTGTGGGAGAATCCCGCCTGGCCTGGCCTGCACACACGGGACGCTGCTGTCCCCCCTCCGCTAGGGGGGCAGAAGGGCAGGAACCATGGAGCCAGGCTCCCCGCGTCCTGGCACACAGAGACCTCAGGGGCACAGGGTCAGGCCTCCATGAGCAGTGGGGCCGCCTGGCCTGCCGTGGGGGGGCGTCCTCCACAGAGACACGGGCTACCTGAGGGCATCCAGTCCCAGCTACGAAGGCCATTTCCAGCTCCCTCACTTCACTCAGTACCTGCTTTCTGTCCTCCTTTGAAGTGTGCCAACTGTTACTGAGAAGTTCCGATGCCACAGGATGCTCTGGAAAGAAGGCTTTCCTGAGGCTGGCCAGAGCCTGGTTCTCAGCCGCCCTGCAGTGGAGGAGGAGAGAGGGCGTGTTCCCCTGAGAGGGTGCCCAGCACGACTGCACGTCCCTCTCCTCGTTCCCGGGCTGGTCTGTCCTGTGTGCTCACTGCCTCTTCCTTCCCACGGGAACTGTGGGCACGGGCCTGCCACGGGCCTGCAGCCCCCACGCTCCCCGCCGCGCTCGCCCTGGCAGGAGGGCCCCGAGGTGCGGGATGAGACGCCCTCAGGCAGCTCCTCCCATGCCAGGTACCAAGGTGCCCCCAACCCCACAGCAAGCTCTCCTTGCTGTCACTGCTGTGCGCCAGGCCCCTCCTGGAGTCTTAACCACTGGAGCCTCGGCATCAGCCTCAAAACCGCCACTGAGCCCTCCTCGTGCCCTGCCGAGGGCCACTGACCACCTCCTCCTGGGAGGCCACACCAGAAAAGAGTGAGGGGGACATCTCAGGGGCACCCAAGTTCAGGACAGAGCTGTTCCCGGACCCACCCACTCCCACTTGTACCCCCCAGGCCTTGGCGGCAGCACCTGCCACCTCTCCCCCGCCGAGCTGCACGGGAGCCCACCTCTGTTCTTGGAAGTACGGATGCTGCAGGGCCTGGTGGGCAGTGATTCTCTCATCGGGATCATAGGCCACCATTGCGTGCAGGAGGGAGAGGCATTGTGAGGACAGACTGGCTGTCAGCTGAGGTATTCCTGATCCCTTTTTAAAAGGAAAATCAAAACTCATAGCTCTCGACCTGTATTAAAAGCCCAATGATAATAAACGATCATGCCATTATTTAGAGCACTTGGCCAGGCATCATCATGACTCTACAGGGCCCTGCACTGATGACAGTTTATGCTCTAAGAAGGGGTGTGACTGCGCAGTCGTCCAAACCCAGAGAATGTACGGCAGCAGAGGCACCCCTCATGTGAACTGCAGACTCGGGGTGACGATGATGTGTCAGCGTGGGCTCATGGATGGGAACCGACGCGCCACCCTGGCGTGGAGGGTCACGGTGGGGAAGGCTGTGCAGGCCCCCAGGTGGTCTATGGGGAATCTCTGTACCTTCCACTAAGTTTTGCTGTGAACCCGAAACTGCTCTAAAAAATAAGTGGGGCGGCGGGGGGGGGCGGGGGGGGAGTGTGAAATCTGTTGTGCTATCAGCGTAAGAAAATGACTTTTCCCCGAGAGGACTAACAACATGTTCTTACCTGAGAAGAAAGAGATAAAGCTTAAAAGGAGGAAAAGGAAGACTCCATAACAGTTGTCTCTCCTTACCTTCCCAGGGCCCAGGAGCTGCCCACCCGCTGCCCCACGGGGCTCTCCCTCAGAAGCCCCAGCTACCCAGATTCAGCTGCATCTCCGACCAAAACCAAACCCTAACCAGTCGCGGTCTGGGTGTCAGTGTTGCTGGCAACAGCCACACGAACGCCTCACCCCACACAGCCTGTATGTGGGAACCTTCTCCGCCCAAAGGTCTCTCAGTCTCGGGTAAATATTCAGAGGACAAAACCTGACCTCCAGGCCCTCAGCAAGACCATCTGAACTCTTCTGTGCTGCTGGAGGGAGCGCGCCCCTGGCAAGACCCCTGGGGGACCACAGCCCCAAGCAGCTGCTGCGTTGCCTCCCTTCAGCGGCAGCGGGGATCCAAGCAGACGGAGGGCCTGCAAGGGCAGGAGAGGTGCGGCCTGGGCCCCTCGGCTGGCTACCACCACCAGCCTTGGCAGGGGGCAAGTCCACACGGGACTCTTGGGCACACACCGCACTTACTGTTTGAACTTGGTGAGGGTCTTCTCAGCAGGGGTGCCAATGACGTCGTGGATTTTTGAGATCTGGTCCAGCTCGTTGGCTCCGGGGAAGAGGGGCTGCAGACTGGAAGAACAGGATGGGGCTGTGGTTAGGGCAGGCCACGGCTCTTCCTCCCAACGTCCCCTTCTGCCGGGCGGCTAGCTCACATGGAAACCCCAGGACACAATCCCCTGGTGTGGCCCTCCTTGCAGCTACGGGCTTTCCGTTCCCCTTCGGCTCGGGACTGTTTCTCCTTTCCCAACAGGGGGTGTCATTCTAAGAGATGGCCACATTCCTCTCTGTACACCCTGATATCTCCATGGCAAGACACGTCGCCTCCGTAAGTGTCCTGTCACAGGAGAGGTTTTCCAACAAAAATTCAGGGTGGATTGGGTCTGGTTTTGGTGACAAATGAAGTCCAAGAAACGTTTTGGTTTTTGGAACTTTTACGGATTTTGGAATCGTGGATGAAAGATTTTAGGCTTACGTAAATAAATTCAATTCGCATGACAAGCCACAAAGAAGAGTTGAGAACAGCAGCTCCGCACAGGAAAGCATCCATGGCTGCAGGAGACAGGAGGAAAGCCCGGGCAGGCAGGGAGCAGCTCTGACACTCGGTGGTGGGGGGGCAGGGTTGCCAGTGTGTGTGTGTGTGGAGGGCCCCCCACAGGCTGCCCTGCACGCTGGTGAGACGCCACCAGCCATCACGTCCTCCACACTGAAGTCCTTTACCATCCATAGGGATTTCAGTGCAGCAGAAAGGACTGTCTGTCGGTACTTGAAGCTCAATGAAAGTGCCACTCAGCTTTCCAAAAATAACAAGCCGATTATCAATAGGAGTGTCCTGAAGGACACGCATGTCCGTATTTATGAAGTGGGCAGCTGAGCTGGTGAGAGCAGACAACCCGAGTCCCCGCCTATGATGCATATCACCCAGATGTTAAATTCCCCTGCTTGTCCTTAACTGTCCACTCCAAGCAAGCGAATGCCGGCCCACCCCCTCTGTGTGAAGCTACAAAGGCTGGGGGGTGTGGAGGCCGGGGAGGAGGTTAGAACTTGGGGCTTTCTAGAATCCAGCTGTGCCACAAGGTGACCCATCCTCACGCTTTGACCAGAGCATCCTACTTGATGGACTGTCTCTCTTAGGGTAGGTCCCAGGAGCAGGGGCGCTGTTCACATATCCCCATGGCAGGCCCCACAAGGTGGCAATAAGCACGTTTCTACTCTGTCCCTGAACTCACGAATCAATCATTTCACTGATGAAGCCAAAGGGGGAGGCCTGCC